TGACAAACATAACTACCAACTGTATTCACACAAGTATGATCACACCCTCCATTGTTAGAATTACACTCATTCTTATCTAAATTTTAAATATACATTTACATAATCCAATTACGTCATTGAAAGTAGTTTATATTTTACCTGAACAATGTCCTCCTGCTGTTAGCTGGTATCCAGAATTACAAGAACAACTGAAGCTTCCAACAGTGTCAGTGCAAGTGTGTTCACATCCACCATTACCTTGATTACACTCATTGATATCTATGTATAAAAATTTTGTGGCATTATTATCTTAATGTTACATACTGTCACAATTTCGTTGGTCACTGTTGAGACTAAAACCAGCATTACACGTACAGTAATAACTGCCAGCTGTATTCACACAGTTATCTTCACAGCCTCCATTGTTGGAATTACATTCAACAGTATCTATAAGCTTAATGATGACTAGTTAGAGCAAATAGCATCATACCAGTACAGCTTTTCTGATTGCTGTTTAATGTATAACCAGTATGACAAGAGCAAGTATAGCTTCCAACAGTATTAGTACACACTTGTCCACAACCTCCGTTGTTAGTTGCACATTCATTGATGTCTATCCAAAAGAACTGGCTGCACAGTAAAAAATGAAAGTTGAATTTAACCCACTTTTGTAGGTTACTGAAAATGCAACCAGGGTAACCCACCTACTGGTAACTTTTACTACTTATTTTGGTGGGTTAATTTAACCACCTCACCATTAACCCATAATTACAGTTATTTTCACCCACCAAATTACATGGACTATGACCAAACATTAACCATTATTGTAAGTTAAAATAACCACCAAGGAAAGTGTAAATTAACTTCAAATTGTACATTGACTTTAGTTAAATTAACTCCAAAATCCAAGTTAATTTAAGAATTTAAAAGATGTTAAAATAACATTAATGAAAGTGAATTAACCTCGGACTTTAAATGTAAATTTAACTTCCAAAAGTGGTTAAATAATAGGTTTGTTTGTAGTTAAATTAACTCCAAAATACAAGTTATTTTAATAAAAATATATTGAAAATATCAATTTAAAACAGTTAAAATAACATTGATTTACATAAAATTAACATTACAATACAAGTAAATGTAACAATTATTGTAAGTAAAAATAATCAGTAAAATGTTTAAAATAACTAAAAACTTAAGCAAACACAACAGTAAACAATAAACAAACAAATTAATTACAAAACATATTAAAATTGTAAAATTGATAGTACTGACTGTTCCACCTTGAATTCTTTGTATTCCTGTAGTATTATTATATAACTATAAATAGTTGTACAAGTTTATTAATGAAAATAACGTCATACCATTTTAAAATGACATCATTAGCTCCAATAGTTTACTATTGCTTAATAATTGCTTCCTTACGATCTAAAATGGTATACAATAATGCCCTTGATAGCCTCATTGCTAGACACTCACTGTGTTATATTCACTTCCAAGGACAATATTTTGTGTTTCTTTATTAGTTTCTCTTATAATTTCAGTCTTCTTGAACCTGCAAAAATACATGTAAATGTTTAGATAAAATTTATTCTTCACTGACATGCAATTATAGTGTAAATGAAAGTAGCTAATGTCTAATTCATTCAAGACAAAATCAACTGCTACACGTAAAATGATAATAAATTAGTGTAATGCTGATTCCATTCAAGACGGATTCAACTGTTACACACACATTCACAAAATACATGAGCATATGAAACTACTGAAATGCACATAGAAACTATTGGCACAAACTACACTGTATATACTCTTTAGTTGGAAATGTTTGAGGGATTAAATTTGGCGGCTTGATACCCATTTGCCAAAAGATAAATCTGCCATTTTGGGCCATTATATGCATGCTCAAGGGCATGTAGCCAGAGTCACCAATCATTAAAATAAGCAATTTACCAATCACCAAAATTTAACTCCCTTCAAAATAACTATAAGGGCGTTAGTTATAATTCCATTGCAACAATTCTTCACTATGAATAAAGTACAATGATATTACAGTGTAGGATGTATAGTGTCGTGTGTCTGTAGTCATAACTTAATTCTCGTACCGTTTAGTGATACATCTGATCCTGTTACCTGAATAAAAACTGGGCCGGTGTCAAAAACAAATGAAGTTGTGACTTCTATTATAGAACTCGTCAAGTCTATAATGGGTGTAGAGAGATTTGCAAGACTTAATTATTATAATAAGTACCTCAATCACTATGAAAATTAAACAAATGTTGCCAAAATGGAAGCAGTCACTCCAGGCCAATTACCAAGTGATAAATTTAATCATAATAAGCTGTTTATACATGAACTTTACTGAGACTGATGTCCATGTTTACATGTTTTAATCTAAAAAAAACAAATTAATAAAATATTTAAAATGATGATACTGACTGTTCCGCCTTAAGTTCTTGTATTCCAGTAGTATTATAACTATAAATAGTTTGTACAAGTCTATTAATTAAAATAATGTCATATCATTTTAAAATGACATCATTAGCTCCAATAGTTTACTATTGCTGAATAATTGCTTCCTTACGATCTAAAATGGTATACAATAATGCCCTTGATAGCCTCATTGCTAGACACTCACTGTGTTATATTCACTTCCAAGGACAATCTTTTGTTTTTCTTTATTAGTTTCTCTTATAATTTCAGTCTTCTTGAACCTGCAAAAAAATACATGTAAATGTTTAGATAAAATTTATTCTTTTTGTTCACAAATTTACATGTATATTCATCTGATACACACATTCACTGACATGCAATTATAGTGTAAATGAAAGTAGCTAATGTCTAATTCATTCAAGACGAAATCAACTGCTACACGTAAAATGATAATAAATAAGTGTAATGTCAATTCCATTCAAGACGGATTCAACTGTTACACATAAAATGATAATAAATTAGTGTAATTTCGATTCCAATCCAACCGTTATTGTCACTCAAGGCTATTTTATTTGTGCTATTTCTACCTGCTACAATTAGAAAGTTATAACATAAAAGGTACGACTACCTAGGCGGGGCAATTCTGACTCTTGGCACCATGCTCACACCATTTTCTCATTCCTTTATAAGGAGCAACAGAATAGCCCCCCCGACTGACTCTACACAGTCACAAAATGTATGTGCACACTATTGAAATTATATAACTATTGGCACACCACACCCGAATATCACCTACTCTTACAAGTCTTCGCTATGCATAAAGTAAAATGCCATTATAGTGTAGGAGGCACAGTGTAGTGTGCATGTCTGTAGTCATAAGTTCCCATACCGTTTAGTAATATATACATCTCATCCTATCAACTGGGCCGGCGCCGGTCAATAACAAATGAACTTGGGACTTCAGTAGGCTACATATAGAACTAATCAAGTCTAAAGTGGGTGAAGAGCAGCAGAGGATACTACGTGAAGAATGCCGCGGGCTCAGCCGACGGCCAGGTCTACTGACATGGCGTCCGTGGTTTTGGTGTATTTTCATCTAAAATGTAATATAAAGAACCATTTAAAATGATTGTCTCACCAAATTGAATATTTCCGTGCTTCTTTAAAGACAGGAACAGTGTTAATGGCACTACAAAAGCAGAGCCGAGCAATGGCGGGCAAATGACAAAGAAGACATCAGCTGCAACTTGCCAAATGCCAGTAGCATCTACAATCTGCGCATGCGTAGTATGCTGTAACCACCGCTGGAGTTACAAACTAACACCCACTCGATGGGGTGGAGCTGAGTTATTTCCAGCTAAAACTCATATTTTCTCCATCCAAATTTGCAAATCTTTACCACTGAAAACTTTATACTATCATAAAGCTAGCCTTTCAAACAAAAAATCAAAAAATTGTTTTTTAATTTTTAACTGTCGAATAAACCATACTTTTCCAGTTCAAGTTACTTGAATGCTTAGCATAGGTACAGGTTATATTGTGTAAAAAATTGCACTAAAAAATTGTTTGGAATGAACGAGATACACAGATAAAAGCATGATTTTAACATCTTTAACGCCCACACAGGCGGGGTGTGGCTGGGTATCATACAGGCTAGAACTCTGGTTTTCTACATCAAAATTCTTTAGTTTTACCATAAACTACCCTGTATAGCTAATAGGTAATGTTTTTGCAAGAATGAAATGTAATTGCAAGCAGACATTAAAAATTGTGTTATTTGACATGACTAGCCCTTCAAGTCGAGTATGATTTGTTATTGTTTTACAAGCCTTGTTGCTAGAAGTGAGGATGAATTGACCAATTTTTATTTCAGCTTGCAATTAACTTTCATTCTTGCTTAAACATAACCTGATAGCTATAGAGTGGGATTTATAGTAAAATTGAAGAACTTTGACGCAGAAAACCTGAGTTCTAGCCTGGAAGAAACCCAGCCACACCCAGCCTGAGTGGGCGGTAAGGCTTGGAAAGAGTGCTTTAAGCTCTCTATCTCGTTCATTCCAAACAATTTTTTAGTGCAATTTTTTACACAATATAACCTACACCTATACTAGGTATTCAAGCTATTTAGAGCAGCAATAGCTATGTTCTTTTAAACAGTTAAAATTAAAAATAGAATTGCTGGTTTTTCGTCAAAAGGTTAGTTTTGTGACAGTTTAAAGCTTCCTTGGTAAAGTTGGCCAATTTTGATATGAGTTTTAGCATGGTTTTAGTATCTGGTATAGCCAGCCTTTTGACGAAAATCCAGAAATTTAATTTTTAATTTTAAATATCTAAAAGAACATAGCTATTGCTGCTTCAATAGCTTGAATACTTACTACAAGTCTAGGTTATATTGTGTAAAAAGTTTCAGCAGAAAACTGCTAAAAATGAACGAGATAGAGAGCCTAAGGCACTCTTTCCAAACCTTACCGCCCACTCAGGCGGGGTGTGGCTGGGTATCTTCCAGCTGGCCAGCTAGGCTTGACCATAGAACGTCATCATCCACCAAATTTGCCATAATATCATCCTCTATAGCTAACAGGTAATGTTTAAGCGAAAATAAAACTTAATTGCAAGTGGACTTAAAATTGATCAGTTTGTCTTCACCCTGGGCTTTCAGGCCAGTAAAAACATCACTAAACTTACTTAGCTTGAAAGGCTTTCTTGGCTCATAAATCAACAAACCTAATTGCAACCTAATTATCTACCATATATAAAATCTTTTTTGCACACCTTGCACTATAAATCTTCTGATTGAAATTAACTCAAGTAGCTGAATAGTTACGCCTCTGGTGGTGAATGGAACACAGCTTGGGTTTTTTTAACTATTTTTACAGTGAATTTGACTGCTCATTGTGGAATAACCATTTAAATTAACCAAAAATTGTAGTAAGTATTACACCATTAAACCAAGTATTTAAAGAATGTAATTACGCAAAACAACTATAAAGAAAATAAGCAAAATGGCAATTAACAAAATTAACTGCAGGTACTTAACAATCTATTTGTAGTTATAGTTAATGACTATAATGTCTATAGTTCTTTTCCCAGTTATTCTAAAAAATTAAAATTTATTAGTCAATAGCATTAAAAATATAAATTCACAATAACCTGTTAGATGCTGCTTTAAGTCCCCCAAAACAGTCTTGTAGCTTAATTTTCTTGAGCCTCCTGGAATCTCAAAAATTGCATCTTGAAAGAAAAATCCAGTATTACAAACTGCCGTAGCATACTGCATATTAAATATGTAATGCGTGCTAAACCACACAAAAATGGCTTCAGATATAGAGACAGCTTCACAAAGCACATCCTGTTCAACAAGTATAAAAAACTGTGGCTTCTTTCCGCCAGTTAGCTTTACAATTCTAGGAGCATTTTTGGGGGGTTGCTCTGTTGAAATTTCTTCTAAAGAAGTAGACGCCTATTGAACAAAAATGAGTTATAAATTAGTTATGCTCATGCACTTACATCATACTCAGCATAGATTTCCTTTGATGCACTAACAGTATCTTTCACACGATTCATAAACAAACATATCAAAAGCTTAAGAGCTACTTCTTGTTCACAATCTGGATCTAAATAAATTTAAAATTACCTGTGTAATAAAGTGATAAGTTTTTGACTTACCCAACTCAGAAGTCACTGAAGAACACACCTCTTGTACTGATTTTCTTTTCAATCCCTTTGAGTACTCATAAATTGCTGGAACCCACTTTTTCCAGTTTTTAAGGTAGGTATCCTTCACTTTAGTGGAAGTAATTAAGGCCATTTCATTTTCAATCTATTAATGTAGGCAGAAACATAATTCAACAATGTAAAACAAACTTACGACAGCAACAACTTTTAATGCCGGATAAACAGAGAGAATATCTGCTATACTCTTTTTCTCATATATTAAACTCTTTCTGGAAGAAAAAGTAGTATTCATCAGTTGAATTAAGATATACTCTCTTGGCCTATCATTCTCAAGTTCCTTTTTCATTGCTGCTATATCTTCTGTTGGAAGAGATGATGAGGCATCACTATCTGTTGACTTTAGTTTTTTTGAACTGGAACAATCATCCTTTTCCTCTGTATCACCATACTTTCTTTTACGGTATTTCCTGGCATTCCTAAACTTTTCCATGAGTTTATGAGTCCAAGACCCCTACGACAACAGGATGACAGAATAAAGGAAAAGAGGAGGAACAATTAAAGATCGAGAGAGAGGAGAGATCAAATACCTTAAGGTTACTTTTAATTGCGGGTACTAAATTTTGCGATTTTAGCACAAGGTAGATTTTGCTGGTATTAAAAATTGTGATTAAGTAATTATTACTAATAGTTATATGGCATCATGATGTCATTATTAATAATTGCAATTTTTAACCCAAACGCAAAATTCGCAATTAATAGTACCCGCATTTAAAAGTAACCTTAAGGTATACACATGAGACAACATAATGCATGTATATAGCATACTAAAATACTAATTTTAACAATTTTACTGTTTCAGATCCTATAGGGTCTTTCAAAAAAGGATACTTCTTGATTAATTCTGTCGCGACATCAACACACTGGGATTTAGTGGGTTTACTATTAAATGCTTTGATCGAACAGCCCAGAGTTGTAATAATCTCCTGTCGTACAACTGGAGTTACTCTCTTTTCACGCAAAATAGAATCTACAGGTTCTCCCCAGTAGTCTGGAATGGGAAAGGGCGAAGGAAATGATAAACTTTTTGACGAAGTGGGAGTGATTGGAGTTGCTGGTGTCCGCTGTATCACAGGAGTTATTGGTGACTCTTGAGAATTTACAACTGGATCAGAAAAAGTCTCCGTGTCATGACAATTATTTGCTGTAACTCCGTGAACTGGGGTGCAAGTATTAGAGGATGCCGTCTCACTGTGCTTCTATGACAATTTAAAAATGAATGCAGTAATTGCGACAATAATAGCAGCTGCTTACTTCAATATGGCGATATATCTTTTTACATATCCCTATGGGCTTTATAAGCTTCTCTAAATCATCCAGTGTTAAGTTATAAAACTCTATACCATCTATGTAGTTATCTAAAACAAAAAACAATAGTGGTTGGCGAGGCTTACATCTATGCTTACCTATAAAAGCTTGCGTAAAAGCGATCGGAATGCCTAATTGCTCTTCAAGAAAGTTTGCTACTTCTTCAGGAGTACTTGAACTGTCCATTTTTGACATTATCCGGACCAAAAGAGATGGAACAGAATCGATAAATAAAAGAGAGGTAATAAGGCCGGTACAGAAGCAATTCGGCCAATTCCCCGTGCTTACTATACTGTCGCTTCTGTGGTATTGCGCATGCGCGACATGCAGTGGTTATTTTTACATGCACCATAGGTAGATTTTATTGACTTTTGTGAGCTGCTGTTTTGAGTTTGAAGACACTTTTAAATTGCAAGAGTAAAATCGCCCTGCTACTGTTAATGATGTTTAGGTGCCACCAAAGAGGATGTTCTTTTGTATGTCTATCAATCAATGACTACCTAAGACACCTAAGAGTTGTGAACCATGATAATTTTTGCTGCTTTTGCTGCTATGAGGGCTGTACTGCTGGAGAATTTCACACTGTAGCTGCTTTCAAGTCTCATATATATCGTACACACTATGATCGGAGTGAAGACAATCCAGAACTCATTCAGGCAAGTAGCTCCACAGATATTGCCATCAGCACAGTGAATCATCCAGTAACCGCAATCAATGATGAAACTCAAGATGCTATAGTTAACCCTGACTTAGAGGCAGATATCAATAGACTCAAAGGAATTGATGTTGTTGAACAAAAGAGGTCATCTGCTTTATTTCTTTTAAGACTCAAAGAAATCCATCACATTCCTCAGGTTGCTGTTGATTCTGTTGTTCATGGCTCACAAGAACTTTTTCAGCAAACAGTCCAGCGGCTGAAAGCTGGAGTTCGATTGAAACTTGCCGAAGCAGGGATTGAAGAAAGCTTATCTCAGGAAATCAACAGTGTTTTTGAAGACTTGATGGATCCATATACGGGGCTTGAAACGGAGTATCTACAAAATGCATATATTCGTGAAACATTTAAAATCCCCGTAAGTTAATGCATGCATGCATGGACTTTGATACTGTTATAATATGAGCTACAAAAAAATTTTATATTTATTATACCCCAAAATGCAACATACTGGGTTGATTCCAGATGTTGCCGTATAGTGTATCTTATCTATTATTATGATTATAACATCAGCATGTGATCAATGCATGTGATCAATGCATGTGATCAATGCATGTTATCATTCTATAGGAACCTAAAGAAATAAAATTAAATAGATGCTATGTCAGTAAGGGCTCTGGAGAGAAACGTTCGTATGAGCTTCAGTGGTCAACTTTTCATTATGTCCCTATTAAAGAAACGCTTACTATGATTCTCAATGATCCTGAAATAAAACGTGCGATTTTAGACAGAAACGTACCAGTTGAAGGTATTTACACAGACTTTTCAGATGAATCAAACACCAAGTTTCACCCTGTTATAGCTGAGCACCCAAATTCTTTGCAAATTGTTGGATATTATGATGAGCTTGAAATATGCAATCCGTTAGGCTCTAAAGTGAAAAAACATAAATTAGGTTTAGTATTCTATACTATTGCTAATATTCATCCAAAATATAGATCGAATTTTAAGGCTATTTTCTTATCTACAATCGCTAATGTTACATTAATTGAAGAGAATGGGATTGATGCAGTGCTAAAACCATTTGTTGATGATCTAAAAACTTTGGCAACCACTGGAGTATCTATAGAAGGTTGTGAAGAACAAGTGCATGGAGCTTTAATCGCCTTTTTAGCTGACAATTTAGCTAGCCACACTGTAGGAGGTTTCAAAGAATCAATGTCCTTTGCCAGGCATTTTTGTCGATCCTGTATGGCAACAAAAGAAATGGCAAGCAGATACTTTACAGAGGATGGGTTCATTATGCGTACACATGATGAGCACATGAAACAGTGTGCTGAAATAGAAAAAGACCCATTGCTTTCAGTTAACTATGGCATAAACAGAAATAGCATACTAAACGCTGTACCAGGTTTTTCCGTTGCTAGTGGCTTACCTCAAGATGTTATGCATGATCTCTTGGAAGGAGTAATAAACTATGAGTTTCGTTTATTGTTAACTTATTGCATTCAACGCAATTATTTTACAATCATTCAAATCAATGAAAGAATAAAGTCGTTTGATTTTGGATACTCACAAACTAGCACAAAACCTCCAGAAATTTCTACTCGTTGTATTACCGAACAAATGAAAATTCGCTATTCAGCATCAGAAATGTTAACAATGGCACACATTTTCCCACATTTAGTCAGAGATAAAATACCCGAGTCTGATCAAAATTACCAATGTTTTCTGATTTTAATTAAAATTCTTAAAATATGTCTTTCTCCTGTTATCACTAACAGCTTAGTTTCATTTTTGCGTGTACTAATTGAGGAGCATCATCATATGTTTCGTGATCTGTACTGCAATGAAAGCTTTATTCCGAAGCTACATTTTATGGTGCATTACCCACAGCAAATCATTAGACATGGACCACTGATTCGTTCTTGGACAATGCGTCATGAAGGTAAGCTTAATTTCTTCAAACAAGCATCAAAATCAAGTAATTTCAAGAATATAACTTTGTCACTAGCAAGGCGACACCAACTCTGGCTTTTATATCAGTTTCAAACAAGTTCACTGCTTGACAATGAAATTATAAGAGGCCCAATTATTCGTTGCAATCAGCTATGTGAAGAAGAGACTGAAACTCTAACTCTAATAAAAAATCACTTAACCAGCTGCTGCATCAGCAATCATTCTCTTATTACTAGGCTGAAATGGATTAAAGTAAATGGCTTAAAATATTTGTTAAACAATGCGTACCTTATAACAGCTGTTGAAGAAGATGAGCCTACATTTAGCAAATTGATGGACATCATTTTAGTTGACTCATCAATAATTTTACTACAAACACTGCAATACAACATATTACATTACTCAGAACACACATTATCTTACAGTATTAGTCCTGGTCAAACAATAGAGATTTTTGATCCTTTTAACTTAAAGTATCCCTTTGTTCTTCACTCTGTTAAATACTTAAGTGTTGATCACATCACTCTTCCTTTTTATGTTAACTAAAAAAGATTTTATTTCAAGATGAGTTAATTTCACTTACATTGGGAGGGAATATTTCACAATTACAATGTTTGTTTTAACCTATAAATAGTTATTTTAACTACTAAGGTAATTGTAAACCACATTTAATGCTAATTAACCATTTTTTGATGGTTAAGTAACTTCATTATGGTTAGTTTTACACTCATTAGTTATTGTAACCACTAAGGTAAAAAATTAACTTCATATTAGGTAAATTAACTACACTTAAAGGTGGTTATTTAACCCCAATATGGTTAAATTTACATTTCATTTTTTACTGTGTACACTTAATGGTATTATATTTTGTTCTCAAGTTCTTCAAGTATTTGATTTCTCTCCATTAAAACTAAGTTATTTGAACATGCTCATAAAGTCTTCTCTTACCCTTGAACTCAATTACCCTACTTG